GGGGAGGACGCACGGGCGCTTCGTGCGGAGTTTCAAGCAGAGTTTCAGGTGTTGGTACGTGCTGGCTGCCTGGGCACCTGCAGGGAAACCGCTGTGTCCGCGGCCCGTGGGGTACGGCCCCTTCCCCTGGCGAGCTGGGACGGGGAGAAACAGCTTTTGGGGAGGCTTGGGACACCCAGACCCGGAGCTACACTGGTGGGAGAGTCTTATCGAAAGGGCTGCTGAAAGCAAGGTGAGCTGCACAAGGCTGGCTTTAGGTGGAATGCAGCCTCCTGAAGGTAACTGAATGCAAGTGAGAGAGGTGGTGGTGGGGAAACAAGCCAGAAGTGGGAGATTGAAAGTGACGTGCTCCATCGAAAAAATTGTCAGCTCCAGCATGCTTCTGGGAGCTGTTGGGCTTGCACATGTTGTGTGGAGGCAGCAGCCATGTGCATCTTATGGAGGATGGGTTGTCATCGTTCTTTTTGGCACTCTGACATGAGGTGGTGGGTGCTGTTGTATGTGCAAGTAAGGATGACATGCTGTGCCCACTCCTAGGGTTTTTAGTCTGCTGCAGCTTGGGTCAGGTACTTCCCAGGGTCTGGTCAAAGGCCATGGCTTACTTTTTGCTCGTACCAGCAATATTTAGGGTGATAAAGGTCTTGGAGTTACTGCTGGTGTGTTGTTCGAAGGCTTGCTTAAAACCAGTACTATAACGCTTCAAAGGATGCCTAAAACCAATACTATAGCTTAAGGATGCTGAGAAAGGGTATTTCATCCTCCAGATGTGAGGGCAGGCCTGTGGCTCGGAGCCGTGCTGGATAGCCAAATTTTTGGCGGGGCCTGGGGTCATTCTGCTCAGCAGAGTTTCTCTGCTGGCCGTGAACGTGCTTTTCCTGGTTCACTTGAGGTTACCCATGAAATAGGCTGGCATGTGTTTCTCCTGCAAGGGATTCCTTGACAAATGCTGGCCCTTGCTCCCTATGTCCAATTCTTTCTAAGAAACTTGATGCTTCTCTGGAGGCTGGGAGGTGCCGATTCCACCCTGCCAACCTCCAGCCAAAGCAGGCCTCCTGAGGTTTTTAGCATATCAGAATAGTGAAATTAGTCTCTCTAATTGGCCATTTAGATGCTAATTTGCTTCTCCTAGGCCTATGCCAGATCAGCCTGCCCCAGAATGTGAGTCAGAAAGAGCCTCCTGTCTTCATGAATTATTCACTTTGCACAACGCACCTGCCTGGCTGGGGATCAGAAGGAAATAGGGCCAAAGTCTGATAAATAAAGATACACCTTGGCAGGTGGAGTAGTGCTGGCTTTCCTCCCCAGCACCCTATGGAGCCGGAAGACTGCTTTGCTTGGGCAAAAACTGGTTCTTTATAGCTTACTGTATATCAAGTAGCCACACTAAATAAGCGCCTCTCATTAATACAGGATTGTTGGTACCGTATGCCAGTTTTCCTGTGGAGCTGATTTTATCTTCCCACTCCTAAGACTGGCATGGACCTCCAGGGCATTGTATTTTATAA